CTAAGTAATTAATTTTGTGGAGTCCTGTAGCTCAGTGGTTAGAGCACTCGCTTTGCAAGTGAGAGACCTGAGTTCAATTCCAGGCAGGGCGAAACCTTGGGCAAGTTTCCTTACTCCACACGCCTAATAATAATCCCTCCAAAAAACCCAAAACAATAATAAATTGGTCATTTTCAATCTACGACTGTTTGTGGGACATTGCTGTGCGCAATTGGCTGCCGCGTTCGCCCACAAATATACAGTCAATTCACTTTACAGTGTGTTCTGTGAAGCGCTTTGGGACGTCCTCCCGACATGAAAAGCGCTATATCAAATGCAAGGATTATTATTATTATTAAAAGGGATGAAAGTGCAAGTTAACCACTAACTCAGATTGCCAGCTGTGGTGTGTGCTTCCTGACATCTGGACACACCCAAGGGTAAATGCTTCTCGTTTTGCCTTCATCCATTATTTCCATACTCGTGGAGTGGAGTGCAGGTCAAGCCCTCGTTTGTATCAATACTGGGGGTGTTGGGGGGGGAGAGGGGGGGGAGAGGGAAGCTTTAATTATCTATTGGATATCACTCTGCCTTACGACAAACCAAAGGGGATTTCAGCTCTACAGTTGAAACTGTAAAGTAAAGCTATTTTACGCAGTCCATCCGCTCCGCAATTTACCGATCGGGTTTATTGGAAGCTGCTCTCGGAACTTTTCTGGAAAATAGATTTATGAAAGCAAGAATAAGGCGTTTAAATAGCTACGGTTTACTTGGGATTCGGGCTCATTTTTGGAGGTTTTTTAGCAAGGAAGTCATTATATTGCACACCCACCGCAAGGAAGTCAGTATATTGCACACCCACCGCAAGGAAGTCATTATATTGCACACCCACCGCAAGGAAGTCAGTATATTGCACACCCACCGCAAGGAAGTCAGTATATTGCACGCCCACCGCAAGGAAGTCAGTATATTGCACACCCACCGCAAGGAAGTCAGTATATTGCACACCCACCGCAAGGAAGTCAGTATATTGCACACCCACCGCAAGGAAGTCAGTATATTGCACGCCCACCGCAAGGAAGTCAGTATATTGCACACCCACCGCAAGGAAGTCAGTATATTGCACACCCACCGCAAGGAAGTCAGTATATTGCACACCCACCGCAAGGAAGTCACTGGCAGATGGGACTCTGCATTTGGGCTCATGCAACGTCCAGATCGGATCCATGTCCTGAGCAGGGAATCAAAGAGAGATAAATAGCATCGAGCACTTGCCCAGGTTCGATCCTTAGGAACCCCCCTCCCCCCCAAAAAAAAACACCACAGCATTTTTGCTCACTCCCCGCCTCTGCAATAACAGGGAACTAAATCTGGGTCAACACTTTTTTTTTAAAAAAAGGAGGTAAACGATCCCACTTTACAAGTATCTCAGTTTCCGCGCACGGACTTTATAACAGATCACCGGAAAAAAATGCGCGACTTAACACGTGAAAAGCATCGCGCAAAGTGCCGACCGAGAGCGTGGAAACGGTCACAGTGTGGGGGCGTCTCGGGCTCACACGGTCACAGTGTGGGGGGGGTCTCGGGCTCACACGGGCATGGTGTGGGGGGGGTCTCGGGCTCACACGAGCACAGTGTGTGGGGGGTCTCGGGCTCATACGGTCACAGTGTGGGGGGGGTCGGGCTCACACGGTCACAGTGTGTGTGGGGGGAGTCTCACCCTCACACAGTCACGGTGTGGGGGGGATCTCGGGCTCACACGGTCACAGTGTGGGGGGGTCTCGGGCTCACACGGTCAGTGTGGGGGGGTCTCGGGCTCACACGGTCACAGTGTGGGGGGACGTCTGGGGCTCACACGGTCACAGTGTGGGGGGGGTCTCGGGTTCACACGGTCACAGTGTGGGGGAGTCTCACCCTCACACGGTCACGGTGTGGGGGCGGGTCTCGGGCTCACACGGTCATAGTGTGGGGGGGGGTCATGGGCTCACACGGTCACAGTGTGGGGGGTCTCGGGCTCACACGGTCACAGTTTGGGGGAGTCTCACCCTCACACGGTCACGGTGTGGGGGGGATCTCGGGCTCACACAGTTACAGTGTGGGGGGGGGTCATGGGCTCACACGGTCACAGTGTGGGGGGGTCTCGGGCTCACACGGTCAGTGTGGGGGGGTCTCGGGTTCACACGGGCACAGTGTGGGGGGGCGTCTCGGGCTCACATGGTCATGGTGTGGGGGGTGTCTCGGGCTCACACGGGCATGGATGGTGTGGGGGGGGGTCTCGGGCTCATACGAGCACAGTGTGCGGGGGGTCTCGGGCGCACACAGTCACAGTGTGGGGGGTCTCGGGCTCACACGGGCACAGTGTGGGGGGTCTCAGGCACAAACGGTCACGGTGTGGGGGGGTCTCGGGCTCACACGGTCATGGTGTGGGGGGTTCAGGCTCACACGGTCACGGTGTGGGGGGGGTCTCGGGCTCACACGGTCACAGTGTGTGTGGGGGGGTCTCGGGCTCACACGGGCACAGTGTGGGGGGGTCTCAGGCTCAAACGGTCACAGTGTGGGGGGGGTCTCGGGCTCACACAGTCACGGTGTGGGGGGGTCTCGGGTTCACACGGTCACAGTTGGGGGAGTCTCACCTCACACGGTCACGGTGTGGGGGGGGTCTCGGGCTCACACAGTCACAGTGTGGGGGGGTCTCGGGCTCACACGGTCAGTGTGGGGGGGGGTCATGGGCTCACACGGTCACGGTGTGGGGGGGATCTCGGGCTCACACGGTCACGGTGTGGGGGGGGCTCGGGCTCACACGGTCATGGTGTGGGGGGGGTCTCGGGCTCACACGGTCACTGTGTGTGTGGGGGGGGTCTCGGGCTCACACGGTCACAGTGTGTGTGGGGGGGGTCTCAGGCTCACACGGGCACAGTGTGGGGGGGTCTCGGGCTCACACGGTCACGGTGTGGGGGGGTCTCGGGCTCACACGGTCACAGTGTGTGTGTGGGGGGTCTCGGGCTCACACGGTCACAGTGTGGGGGGGTCTCGGGCTCACACGGTCACAGTGTGGGGGGGTCTCGGGCTCACACGGTCACAGTGTGGGGGGTCTCGGGCTCACACGGTCACAGTGTGGGGGGGTCTCGGGCTCACATGGGCACAGTTGGGGGGGTCTCGGGCTCACACGGTCACGGTGTGGGGGGGTCTCGGGCTCACACGGTCACGGTGTGGGGGGGGGTCTCGGGCTCACACGGTCACGGTGTGGGGGGTCTCGGGCTCACACGGTCGAGCCTGGGTTCACTCGGCACAGACCCGGGTGGTGTAGGTCCCCTTGGATCGCCGAGGGTGGGGGGGGGGGACGGGGGGTGGGCGTCCGGGCGCTGGGGGTGAGTGACACTCCCCCCCTCCGAACCCCCCCACACCACGAGATTTCTGTGTTGAGTTCAGTGTACAAGTGCCACTTTCTTCTCTCTCTCTCTCGCTCTCTTTCTCCACATCACTCCCCTCCCTCCCTCCCTCCCTCCTTCCCCCTCTCTCTCTCTCACAGACCCCCCCCAAAAAAAATATATATATATATATAAAAGCAATAGGGGCTTTATTTCTCTCTCTCTCTCTCCTGTGTACTGATGGTTAAACCGACTGGAAAGAAGTTTGAGTGAGTGTTTTGGCAGCTCAGTGAGCAGCACAGCCATCACTTGGGAGTCAGTGAGATCCAACAGGTGATTACCCGCCTGATGCTCTGCCCTCCCCTCCCCTCCTCCCTCCCTCCCTCCTTCCCATCCATCCCTCCCTCCCTCCCTCCCTCCTCCCCTCCCATCCCTCCCTCCTTCCCATCCCTCCCAATGCTTTCAGCCTCACTCACTTGTGAGCCAACAAAACGGGTGACACAGAACCAGAGAGAGTGGCACCGTTTCAAACAGAGTCGACCCACAGTAATTCGATAAGGACTGAGGATTTTTTTCTTTGTGAGTGAGTGTGAGAGAGAGTGTGCGAGAGTGTGAGAGTGAGTGTGTGAGTGAGTGTGTGAGAGTGAGTGTGAGAGAGAGTGTGAGAGTGTGAGAGAGTGTGAGAGTGTGTGAGAGTGAGTGTGTGAGTGTGAGAGTGAGTGTGTGTGTGAGAGTGAGTGTGAGAGTGAGTGCGTGTGTGAGTGTGTGAGATTGTGAGAGTGTGTGTGTGTGAGAGAGTGTGAGAGTGAGTGTGTGAGAGTGAGTGAGAGAGTGCGTGTGTGAGTGAGAGTGTGTGAGAGTGAGTGTGTGAGTGAGAGTGAGTGTGAGAGTGTGTGAGAGAGTGTGTGAGATTGTGAGAGTGTGAGAGAGTGAGAGTGAGAGAGTGAGTGTGAGAGAGTGTGAGAGTGAGTGTGAGAGAGAGTGTGAGAGTGAGTGTGTGAGTGTGTGAGTGTGTGAGAGTGAGAGTGTGTGAGAGTGAGTGTGTGAGTGAGAGTGAGTGTGAGAGAGTGAGTGTAGTGCTCGGAAATGATTCGCTCCTCCACTCGCACGTGAACCTGGGATCGGGGGCAGGTGGGAAACTGGCGGCTTTTTCCTCTTGGAGGCGTGTGAGGAGCCGAAGTGTGGCTTAAATGCCGGACGCCGCCTTCACGTCGACTTCACTGAAGATCCACAACTCACTCACTCACTTCACTCACTCACTTCACTCACTCACTCACTCCGGCCATTGAAACCGTGAGAGTGAGTCCATCTCCGATCCTCAGACAGAGAAGAGGGGGTGAGTGAGAGGGTCTGTGAGAGAGAGAGAGAGAGAGAGAGACAGAGAGAGAGGGAGAGAGAGAGAGAGAGAAGGAAGGTAGTAGTGGTGGTAGTAGAAAGAGAGAGGAGAGAGAGAGAGAAGAGAAGAAGAAGAAGAAGAAGAAGAAGACGAAAAAAAGAAATAAAGTGTTTGCATTTATTATTTCTTCCCTCTGGGTCGAGGTGTCTCGAACCAGAAGCGCCACGATTCCCCCCAAAGGCCGACAGGACGACCGTCCTCCGCCCGCGACGCGGACCGTCCGCAAGAAGCGGCTGGTGGCGGCGGCGCTGGGGGTGGTGATGGTGCTGGTGCTGGTCATCCTGATCCCGGTGCTGGTCAGCTCCGCCGGCACCTCGGCTCACTACGAGATGCTCGGCACCTGCCGGATGGTGTGCGACCCGTACGGCACCAAAGCCACCGCGGGGGCGGCGGGGGCGGCGGGGGCGGGGGCGGGGGGGGCGGCCGAGACGGTCAGGGACCACACCCTCCTGCCTCTGCCCACCTTCATCCAGGGACCCAAAGGCGAGCCGGGGAGGTCGGGCAAAGCCGGGCCGAGGGGCTCCACCGGGGACCCGGGACCGCCCGGGCCGATGGGGCCACCCGGGGCCAAGGGGGCGCCGGGCCGGGCCGGGCTGCCCGGGCTCCCGGGACCCCCCGGACCCAACGCCGGAGCCATCAGCGCCGCCACCTACAGCACCGTCCCCAAGATCGCCTTCTACGCCGGACTCCGGCGGCCGCACGAGGGCTACGAGACGCTCAAGTTCGACGACGTGGTCACCAACCTCGGGAACCACTACGACCCCACCACCGGCAAGTTCACCTGCTCCATCCCCGGCATCTACTTCTTCACCTATCATGTGCTGATGCGGGGGGGGGACGGGGCGAGCATGTGGGCGGACCTCTGCAAAAACGGCCAGGTAAGGGGGGGGGGGGGGGGGGGGCACCGACTGGACTCGATACCCCCATCCCATCACCCACCCCATCACCCCACCCCATCACCCACCCCATCACCCACCCCATCACCCACCCCATCACCCACCCCATCACCCACCCCATCACCCACCATCACCCACCACCCCACCACCACCCCATCACCCACCCCATCACCCACCCCATCACTCACCATCACCCCATCACTCACCATCACCCACCCCATCACCCACCATCACCCCATCACCCACCACCCACCCCATCACCCCATCACCCAACTAAGTTGGAGCCCTCACCCCCACCCACCCACCCATCCACCCATCGCCACTCCCAGCACTCGCTCGCTCACTCACCCACCCACCCACCCACCCCACTCACTCACTCACTCACCCACCCACTCACTCACTCACTCACTCACTCACTCACATCACTTTGTCTGGACTTTTCTTGGTTGCATATATATATATATATATATATATATACCTTTCTTGGTTGCATATCTCTCTCTCTATGTATACATTTTTTTATTTATTGTTTTCTTTGTAAAAAAGAATGCTAAAATCTCCCCCTCCACCACCCCCCCCCCCCCCCCCCCCCAAGTTGCAGCCCTCGCCCCCAGGGCTGGCTGGCTGGCACTGGAGGAGGTTGCCATCGCACCTTGACTGGTGTTGCCTTCTGGCTGCTGTTACTGGTTATCGTTTAGATCCGTTGTGTTTTAGATAAAAAGGGTAGTGTGTGTGTGTGGGGGGGGGGGGGGGGGGTCGATGAGATTATTATGATTATTATTATTATTATTGCAAAAGTTGTACTACGCTTCTTACTTGACAATGCAATGGTGTGTGTGTTTGGGGTGGCTGGAGGGGGTGGGATGGGGGGGGGGGGGTGGGGGTTGGGGGGTGCAAGTGTATTTGTGCACCTTGGGCGAAGCAGAAGCGAGTCGTTGAGACACCAACTCAAAGTGCGAGGGGGTTAAAGGACAATTTGGAGAGGTGTCCGATGAACTCGGTGCTGGTTTACCATCGCAAATGCACCTGCTGATCGGGGGCCACAGGAATGTCCGTGAAATAAAACGAATTGGGAGGTAAATATCAATGTAAAGATTATTATGATGATGATGATGATTATTATTATTATTACCAATGTAGAAAAGTCAATGTGTTTTGTGGTCAGCCGGGTGTCTGGCACATGGGGAAACCCATCACCCGGCTTAAGAGTATCCACACCAAACAGCAGATACACCAGAGTTCAGTATCCACACCAAACAGCAGATACACCAGAGTTCAGCATCCACACCAAACAGCAGATACACCAGAGCTTAGCATCCACACCAAACAGCAGATACACCAGAGCTTAGCATCCACACCAAACAGCAGATACACCAGAGTTCAGCATCCACACCAAACAGCAGATACACCAGAGCTTAGCATCCACACCAAACAGCAGATACACCAGAGCTTAGCATTCTTGCACACATTGAACGCTCTGCAAACTTTCCCCCCCAATCCTCCTGCTCCAGGTCCGAGCCAGTGCCATTGCCCAGGACGCTGACCAGAACTACGACTACGCCAGTAACAGTGTGGTGCTGCACCTGGACGCCGGCGATGAGGTCTACGTGAAATTGGATGGAGGCAAAGCACACGGCGGAAACAACAACAAGTACAGCACCTTCTCTGGATTTATAATCTACGCGGACTGAGGGAGAAATGGGAGGGAAAAGAAAAACGAATCACAACACACACAAAAAAAAACCTCCTACTTGCTCCTGTGTGCAGGACAGCTGGATTCCCCATGGCCGAGGAAGATCATTGCAAAAACCAAATGGACAGTCACCAGATGTGCATCTTACTTCTGGATACAACCAGCCGCGCGTGTGTATGTGTGTGTGTGTGTGTTTTTTTAATATAAAAAAAAACTGTTTAAAACATGTCTGCACACTTCGAAAAAAGACTACGTCCAGTGTTATATAGGCTCAGTTTGGGTTAGTCTGACTTTTACACCCCAAAGCAATTTCTCCTTGTTAGCCTTGTGTTTTGTGAGAGGAATCTGTCCAGAGCTGAGCAACAGAATGGCCAGTTTTTTCTTTAAAACCTCCAGATTACGTGGGAAAAAAAAAATAGGATTTTCAAAAATGTTTCTCATTCTCAGATGCTTTGATGTATGAGCTCACAGCTATATCCATGCAGCATCGTTTTGGTTGTCGTGCTTAGCAATTTCTCTGCTTTGGGAGAACGTTTCCACATTAATCGCTGTGGTGAGCAATGATTTTCTAACACTTAATAAAATAATAGTATTGTCAACAAGTATGCTGCTCCTTTTAACAGGAAAAAAAAAATGGTTATTGTTTGCCTTATACCGGTGCAATTCTTTCATTTAAAATTGCCAATCGATGTAAAGAATAAATGTGTCTGCAATATACAATATACAGCATCCTGATTGCTGTGGCATGAATTGCAAGCTCGTTGTATTGTACATATGCAATAAGGTGCCAGTGGTTATATATAAAGAGTAAATGGCTGGTCTTACAAATAATGTACGTTGTACCTTTCAGTATTCAGCGTTTTTCTTCCATGCAGTAGGTAAGAGGCGCTTGGACACGTATTTTTTTTTAAAATCGTTGCCAGATTGAGCAGAGTACAAACTGCAACTTTTACTATCTCAGCCCAATCGCAGCTATTTTGCGGGAGAGAGCCCATAAAGTGGAGCTCCGGAACAGGGATTAAATAAATGCTTCCGAATTGGGGGACCCGAGATTCAGTTTGATAACTGGGGGGTGGGGGGGAAAAAAATGACTGGAGACGTACTGTTTTCCAGTTTCCCTTTCGAATTTGAGTTTAAGAAGAATAAAACTTTTTTTAAAAAAAGATTAAAGACGGTGCAGTGTGAGGGAGATACTGTGTAACCTGTTCTTATCTTTGTTTAAATTCACCATTATAAAGCAGTTGCTGATTTTGGCCCGGATTATTGTTATACAATATTGCTGTTCATTAAAGAAGGATACAACACCTCCAAACCTCTGGCTCATTTTGTTTGCCGAGTTCGTGCTCTCGTTACAGTGTTTTCTTTAATGCAATAAGTCACATTGCTTCAGTACATGAATACCACCTCAATTCTGTATTAGCAGTGTCTCAGAGTGGTGAAGGGTTGTCTCTCTCTCCCCCCCCACCCCCCCCCCCCCCCACCCGCGTTGCAGCCTTGAGCAATATTTTATTCATGCAAATACTTTGCCAATAATTTAAGAAATAGACGCATTTTAATTGTGTTGATCTATTCAGACTCGGTACTGGCAGATCGTTTCATGCTAAATTACTTGTTTATTGGGCCTCAGCTCCAATATACATCACTCCTAATCTATTTGCATTACACATATGACACTAATACATAATCTAACCAGGAAACGCGTTGTTAGGATACATGGTGCCGAGGCAATAACAGGTTATATTCCAAAATATTCTATAGATTTGCTATATTTTGCAGCATGATCGGCTTTCGATAGCACCAATTTACAAGTACGAGGTGTGTAAAAAATACAATCTATGTCCGTTTAGGACTGAATGATTGCTGCAAATCCCTTCCTAATAATAATAATAATAATAATAATAATAGGCAACAACTGGTGCTTCCTGCTTCATTAATTTTCTGTTCAACGTTTCATTATTGTCAACGCAAACAAATAGCGAGAGATCATCACACAAACAAAACAGGGGATCGATTCCATCATCTCTTGTCATTTTTATCGAGAAATTGACCAGCAGCCTGGCTCGCTGCACATGTGGAGGAAACACAAAAGCCTTATTACCATTTACTTATGCATTTTTTATTGAAACAAAGCGTATAAACGCGACCTGAGCGGCTGCGCGCAACTTTCCGTCCCAATTATTTGAAGGTTAACCAGCGTTTGGGGTTTTCCACCAAAATAGTGTCGATCATCGATTGGGTAATGCCCCTCGTAAGCATTTTGGGGACGATATTGGTGAGGATGTGGGAATAGCCGTGTCCCCCATACTTCATCAGCCTGTTCTTGGTGTGCACGTCGTGAGCAATGAGTACCTTCTCTCCATAGCCCTCCTCAACCAGTTGGCGGACCCTGAAAATACAAGAGAAAATAAAATAAAATGCATGTCTCCCCCCTGCTCCACCAAATGCCCATTCCCACCAAAAACAAACCTCAAGCAACAATACTTCTTCGTTATGTCCATTTCCATTATAATCTACACCTGGCATCAAATTTGGTTCAACAAATGATGTGTTGCTCTCTTTGTGAAAGGTGTGTTTGGATTTATGTCGAGACGACCTGAATGTCCAGACCGACTACTGAACTCTTCAAAATACTGTACTTTAAAAATAACCGTGAAAAGCCTAAACTTTTTAAAGTCCTGTTTCACCCCCACCCACTCCTCCCCTCCCCAACACGACCCCTTGTGTATTATTTTCATCAGTATTTCACTGGCAAAAAAGAAAGTCCCGTTTATTATTCGAGCCATTTACCAGGAAGGCGTGTGGTTGCACAGATGTGTTACCATTTCACACTTCAGTCACCAACTGATTGATTTATATAACCAGAGACAACGCTTCCCTCAATTGACTTGCACTGATATAAAAAAAAGATTAGAAAAATCAGTAATACCCAAACATCTCATCACAACCTCTTGAATATACTAATCATTTCGTAAACTTGATGATAAAGAGATATTCTTCTATGCTCGTGAAGCACTGAAATGTTGCTGTCAATCAGTTTCTTTTGCAGAGAGAGAAAAAAATAACAGTAGGAAGTTGGATGACATTTATGGAACTGCTCACAAAACATGGTCAGTCTATTTCAGACTCGTGGGTCGCTTTTATTAGGGTCGGATTTACCAGCAAATAAATTGATTGATTTATTTATCTAGTCAAAAATTGTGGTACAGTATTACCCTTCACATACAAATTCAGAAGTAAAGCAAAACAGAAAAGATTGGATTTTCTTTCAACTTTTTTCAGCAACGTCAAGCAGTAAACAGTAACCATTTAAGCGAAATGCACCAAATTCAGATACACGAAACAACTCCACGGATCGCTAAATATGCAGATCAATTGGAAAATAATTACTTGATTGAAAAAAATAAAATGTATGATGTGATGTAGCCTTTTGCAGACGATAAATTAATTTATTTCCCATATCAACAGGTAAATTGATAATCCCAATGCCCAATATGTAATCCATAGTGCAATGTGGATTTTCTTACAAGTGTTCTAACTTTTCTGCTTTTAATAAGTCAATATATAACCGCTTTAGTTCTTGAAGACTCTTTCCAACGTTGTCTGTGGGTTTAACTCCACTGCAAAGTAGCACTGGTTGAAATCGATCGGATTTTATCTGCAGATTACCTGCACATAGAGTTATCCGCCATAAACAGCTGTAAATTACAAATTGTGGTATCATCCACAACTTTCGACGAAAACGTGTTACATTATCGTTGGCTTGTGCACAGGTTTTGAACAACACATGTGAAAGGTAACATTGCTGAAAAGCCACACAGTGTGTGTGTGTGTTGCTTTCTTGCTGTGACTATTTTATTCTCTGTTTTGTGTACTTACCACCTGATTCTCTCACTGTCACACGGCATGTCGATATCCGTATTGAACACGTAATTCAGCATTTCTGTGCCAAACAGATCGTACTCCAGGTAACTTCCGAGTTTAGCGAACTCCAGTAACACTTCCCGATCAAGTATCGTCCTAACGAAGAGAAGTCAGGGATGACAGTGGAGTTAGGAGTGCACATGGTCCCACACAGTCGAAGCGACTACAAAAGCAGATTTTACTTGCAAACCTGCTGCCCCAACCACCGGAAAACAAAGCTGTTTTCTCCCCCCGTTTCGTTTGAAACATTAAATTCGGAAGATCTCACCATTGCGCAACAACAGCCATATCTCACTGCTGGTGCATTGGTTTCAATCTGTGCGTTGTGCATCTCACCACCGAATTTCTTGAAAATGCAACGTTGCCACCAACCCATTCGTTGTGAATGTTTCATGATTTTCACGCTTTAATCACACGAAATGAAAGCTAAGACCCAATGACCCCAACCTCATTCATTTTACACGTTGATATATCACTGCCAGGGAAGCCCCCAGGTCTCAAAGGGGTGAAGTGACTACTGCAGGGCCGGGCAATACACACTGCACTGGTCCACAGTGAATGAGCCCAACACAACCCTATTCCTGTTGCTCCATCCGTGTCGGACACGAAGCTCCTTCTCTTGAAGAATCCCAAAGATTTTCTAAATAAAAACATACTCTTGCATTTCATACGTCCAACAGTCTCAAGAAGTGTAATAACTTTTATGAAGTGAAAGGCAGCAGCTTAAGCTGTGACAGCCACACAAATAATATATGTACAAACGTGGGGCGATAGATGAAAGAACCCTAATACTGCAGTATATTTAACACAGCCATAAAAGCTACAAAGAGGTTAAGCAATGGAAGAGGTCAAATGAGCAGATGGTTTAAACTGCTTTGCAGAGAGCGATGTAACTCAAGAACAAGCAGATGCACATGAACATTATCGGCCCATTCAGAGAACATGACGAGCAAAGGCTAACACACTGCTTCTGTCAGCTGTTCACTGCCCCTGACACTACTGTTTCCTGCAACCTTGCCCCATGCACACAAAAGTTCAAATGCAGTTAACTATCACTTACGAATCAGGGTCGATAGGATTGCGCATTGGAACCTTGGACAGGTTCGCTGAAACATCTCAAAGCGTTTCACAGGATGTCTACTGTTTAGTGTAGTGACTGGACCCGTAGGCGGATGTGGGCAGCCATTTTGAGCGCAGTAATGGCCCACAAATAGACATGAAGTGAATGGCCCATAGTATCTAGAGGATTGTTGGCAAGGATAAAGAGAGACTCCCTGCTTTTAGTCAAATAATGCCATTGGATCTTTAATATTCATGGAAACAGACAGGCGTCCGGGACCTCAGTTTAACACTTCGCCTAAATCTTAGCCAAACTAATGGAATTTCAGTTACCTCATATACTTCAGTTTGTTTAAAATGAAAAAAGTCATGCATCAAAACTCGGATCCAAATAATAGTTCTTTTATATTATGGAAATAGACAATTATAGTAATAATAATAATAATTCTTGCATTTGATATAGCATATTATTACATCTTCGAGACATCTCAAAGCACTTCACAGAATATACTGTAAAGTGAATTGACCATATATTTTGTGGGCGAAACGCAGCACCCTAATGTGCACAGCAGTGTCCCCCAAACAGTCGTGGATTCAATCACCAAACTATTATTGTTATTTTTTGTAGACATACAATTAAGACAATTCTTTATTCTAAATATAAAGGACATTTTGATATCAAGTTGTAACTTTGTAGAATATGTCAGGCCACATTAATAATAATAATAATAATCCTTGCATTTGATATAGCGCTTTTCACGTCGGGAGGACGTCCCAAAGCGCTTCACAGAACACACTGTAAAGCGAATTGACTGTATATTTGTGGGCGAACGCGGCAGCCAATTGCGCACAGCAATGTCCCACAAACAGTCGTAGATTGAAAATGACCAATTTATTATTGTTTTGGTTTTGGAGGGATTATTATTAGGCTCTGTGTGGAGTAAGGAAACTTGCCCAAGGTTTCGCCCTCCGCCTGGAATTGAACTCAGGTCTCCCGCTTGCAAAGCGAGTGCTCTAACCACTGAGCTACAGGACTCCTTATTAAAATAAGGTGAGATTTTCAATGGGGAAATTAAATGCATAAAGTTAGTATAGATTTTAAAGCAAGTGTCAGCCCATATAATACTAAAGTAGCTTTTGTGCAGTTACATTACACGCATACTATGCCTGGCTGAATCTATGCCAACAGAGTAAAGTGAGTGCAATGGAAATAAAGTACTTTAAATCAATTTGAATACTTAAGTCAAAAGAATGTCTATGCCGATATAGGTAGTATGTAACAAGACAAAAAGTTTTCCCCAACAATGATGCATTTTATATTCAGTTGGAAATGGGACAAAAAACCTTCGACATGAATCTACATTAGGAGGCCCCACATGATAAATGGTCATTACGTGATTGAGGTAACAAACAGCATCAAGCAGTTGAAGATTCAAATATGAACTCAAATTCAAAAGAATTGTGGGGGTGAGAGGGGGAGTGAAGAGAGAGAAAGGGAAAACACCAAAAACATAAGTTAGAAGAACATATGGGTTAACATCAATAACTGGGATCATCGTAAGGTAAATAAAACACAACGCAGTTTAAAAATGCACTGTAGGATTTTCTATTCATCGAAGATAGCAACTTGAAATGACCTGTTCAAATGTTTCTCTGTAGCATTTAAATATTGTAAACATTCTATGATACGCAAAAGACAAAAATAAAGCCAGTGACGTTTGTGGTATTGATGTTTAAGTATTTATTATCACAGACTAATTTGTTCTCTCAGTTTCTAACAACAACTTGCATTTATATAGCGGCATTCACACGGGGTATGGTTCCAGAGCGCTTGACAGTGGCAGAGGACAATGCTGAGCCCACGGCGGAGAAGGGAGGTGACCGTAGGTGGGGAGGGAGGGGGCAAGGCGGAGAGATTGAGGGAGAGAGTTCCAGAGTTTTGGGGCGTAGTGACTGAAAGCATGGCCACCGATGGTGGAATAGACGGCATGAGGGACAAGCTAGGTCTTAAAAAAAAATTGACTGCTGAATGGGAGTGGGATCTGCCAAAGATTGCTGTGTCAGGTGGACTCTACTTACAGTCCTCAGCCACAGTACTGATGATGCCCGACCTATAGAGCACAAGAAATGCAAAGGCGTAATTTGGCCCATTGATCGCATCGTTCCCCCAGACTACCTTCACTACCTTCTGCCAACTGCAGCTGTAGCATCCCCTGGCCTTTGCCAGTAGATCCCTTGTCTTTCTGTACCTAGTGATGATCTCTAGCAGCCCCATGGATGGAATCACACAATAGTGCTCTGCTGAAACAAGCAGGACACCATGCAATACACTGTACACAGAGTGGACACAGACACACACACACACACTTAAAATACATGCAAAGCTTGCTGCGGGCACCTCAATCAAGTGCCGAATATTTACAAAATTACTCACTAGAGAATTGTACTGGACAATTGTCCAGTTCATTCTTACTACTTGATATGAATATTAGGCCTAATTAGTTTTATTGTCGATTACGCAACTGCTGGAAATCTATAAGATTAGAGGTTTCCTCTTACCCAGTGAACATGCTTTTGATGAAACAGAGCCTCTTTATTGTAAAGAGCTTTGAAACATGTCGAGATGATAAGGCAAATAAGATAAGTTATCTTTTTCTTTTCAGCTTGGCAACTTTATCAGCTCTACCAGCAGCAGCGTATAATTTACAATCATTTACTTATGTGGAGTGAGTTGCTATGAGATCAGCCATACGGTTCTTGTAAATGTAAGGTACTTTATATCGTCAACCATGATGAGCAGGATGCTTCGAACCATGCCAAGTTCAATGCTAAGAAACTCCCGACAGCTTTTCTGAGAGTACCTGGAATTAAACTCTTAACAACAACAACTTGCATTTATAAAGCGCCCTTCACGTGGGGTAGTGTCCCGGAGCAATTAAAAGAAAAACAACATACTTTAGTGGATAAAGGGCTCATCAGATCAACGGAATTGAATTGGCAAATAATGAAATGAGCAAGAATTACACTGTGCTTGAGCAGGTCTACTTTGGGTCTATTCATGGACTCTCATTGCCATTGCTACTTTAGGCAGAGGGATATAAGATGATCTAAGAACCTGAAAGCTGGAATAAACCATAAAAGTGACATGATGCAGATTGCAAGTTTTATTTAGTGCTCAGCCCTACAGAATATTGAATTCCATGATCATCATAATACTCCATTATGTAGATAGTTAGTTCTACATAAAAAGTAGCACCATATATATGGCTTACTGAAAAATGAAATTATCAAGCCCATAGGAATATATATATTGCAATAACCTCAGATACTAATGGAATAATCAATGGCATGAAGTAAAAATACTTTCTAAATGATAATCCTTGAAGTGAAGAAGTTTGCAATTCTGGAAAATCTGTGAAGCATAATGCACATTTTAAATTGAAAGATGAGTACATTAATGATAATAATAATCCTTACATTTGCGCCTTTCACATCGGGCAGGCATCCCAAAGCTCTTCACAAGATACAATGTAATGTGCAATGACTGTGTTTTTGTGGGTGAACAAGGGTGTTTTTTTTGTAGGCAAATAAGCAGGTTTAACAGTCCTACAGCAAATCTGATCCTGCTAGAATGAATGCGATGGATTATTACTATAATCTTATAGATAATATACAAGTATTCTTCTACTGTATATATATACAGTAGAAGTTGGGCAAGTTTCCTTACTCCACACGCCTAATAATAATCCCTCCAAAACCAATAATAAATTGGTCATTTTCAATCTACGACTGTTTGTGGGACATTGCTGTGCGCAATTGACTGCCGCATTCGCCCACAAATATACAGTCAATTCACTTTACAGTGTGTTCTGTGAAGCGCTTTGGGACGTCCTCCCGACGTGAAAAGCGCTATATCAAATGCAAGGATTATTATTATTATTATTATTACAGATGATTGTGATTTTTCATTGCCAAGCATCTTGCTGCAATTTCAGCCCCAAGGAGACCCTATGTACATTCCCTCCGCCCCAGGAGAATAATCACTAGTTGGTTATTTGTCATCTAACAAGAGCAGGTTTGAGCCCTCACTAGGCAGGAACTCTTTGCAAGCTTCCTGGTGAGCAGCTCCGCTCAGCATAAAATGTGTTGGGAGCACTGCCACCATCTTCCTGTCTACAGCTTGGAAGCAGATCCCTACCCATTGAAGTGTGGTTCCACCACTTAGAAGTGGAGCATGAGCAGGGAGCTGCTTATCTCTCTTCATATCAATCAAGGTGGATACAAAGCCCTGGATATATAAACATATGTTCACAAACCCACAATCCAGGTAATGCCTTCAAACAAGTCTCAGAGTTTCCTCATCAGTTATTCAACTGACATCTGCCTTCAGAGTTAGGTAGTCCTTTACAAGACAGTTGGTGATGTGCCAGCCAGCTTGATGTTCTTGTGGGCCATGTTCCTTGCTTACTCAGCACCAACTGCTGTTTAGTTGAGGACCTCATGTGAAGGGCTTTGACAACTAGAAGCTGATTCAATCTCAATGGTGGGAAGCTCGTTACAATGGCGTTCAACCATATCTGTATTATTTCAATCTCAGATGTTAGATTTATAACCAGCCTTCTCTTATGCTGCTATGGCCAAACCCATAATTATATTCAGATTGCTTTTAGATGGCTGTCCTACATCATCTAATTTTTGAGACAGCAATTCTAACAAATTAAATTCTATTTCCTTTCACAACTAGTCCTTAGTCTAGAACCTTCTCCACTCACCTGTCTATATGGGACATGACTGTTTTGGAGACGTCACCCCCAGCCTCTTGTAACAGCCGGATGATCTGGGAAGGTGCGTCACAATTCCTGCCAGGGTGAATGATGACCGGGCAGCCGAGCTGTGCCTGTGCCTGAGCTGTGGCTTGAAGAACTTTCCTCTCGCTCTCAGTCAGTGGCCATGAGCAGCCGATTTCTCCAATCACTCCACATTTGATGTCAGTTCCATCAGCTCCATGGAGAATTTCGCTCACTAGAACATCTGTCATCTGCAACAAACCAAACTCGGTAAGAAGTTAGCTATTAGCCAGAGCAGTCTGGTAAGTGCATAGCATAATACTGCTGAAAAAGACTCAATGACAGTTAACGATAATTCTTTAATGTTTTGGATACTCATTAGAGTGTACAATAAAAACTGGAAAATCAATTAAGAGTTCAATCAATTGTAGAGTAATTCAGGGCAAATTCCCTTTTATATTGATAGCAATATTTCGGGACTATACTTAACAGAGAGCTAAACGTAGGCCATTTACATTAACTGAGCTCAAGTGCCAAAGGGTATAATTAACAGATTATGGGTCTAATAGTAAGAATGAGCACATAGAATACAAAATGGCACTATTATCATAGTGCATTTGAAAACATTTATAACAAAAAATTTTACTGCTTCTGAAAAAATATGAACACAAATATGAATAAACTAGTACTATAATTGCTCTCAATTGATTGAAGGTTGCAGTAGACAAAATGGACTAGTGGTTGTAAAGCATTCTCTTCCTTACAGTCCTGCACAATTTTGGAAGCCTGCTGGAAAATGCACAATATCATAGATCTGATCCCATTCTGTTGTGGTCATGTTTGCATCTGATTACAGCGATCAGCATATAATAGTATTTCATCATTTTGGGCATTTCAATGGCAAGTGACTGAAGACCTACAATGTTAATTCATTTCTCTACCCATTCCCCATTGTAATGAACCAATAATAATATTCACTGCATTTAGTATTAGCATTTAGCGCCTTAGCACATCATTGAGACACCTCAAAGTGCTTCAATGTATTGCTAGATCTCTTCCCTTCCTAACAATGCATTTTTACTTTGTGTTCTGCATTTAACCATTTTGGCACATGAATGATCAATTAAGTAATAAATCTTTAGACAGTTATGGAGGTAACCAATTATCAGTCTGACTTCTGAATGATCGTATTAAACAGAACAGATATTACAAATCTGCACTTTTGAAAAACAGAATAGATGTTGAGGGATTTTAATATTTATACCCTATTAAATGAGCCTCTTTCATATTTCTGGTGGGCCAACGATTAAAATGGAAAACAGAAGAGGAAACGTGAAGTGTGTCAATGGTATCCTGTGGTTTAATTTTGAGGAAGAATCAATTTTGTTTTTACTGACAGTGATATTCGGAGTCTTGTAGCTCAGTGGTTAGAGCACTTGCTTTGCAAGTGAGAGACCTGAGTTCAATTCCAGGCAGAGGGCGAAACCTTGGGCAAGTTTCCTTACTCCACACGCCTAATAATAATCCCTCCAAAACCAAAAACAGTAATAAAATTGGTCATTTTCAATCTACGACTGTTTGTAGGACACTGCTATGCGCAATTGGCTGCCGCGTTCGCCCACAAATATAGTCAATTCACTTTACAGTGTGTTCTGTGAAGCGCTTTGGGACGTCCTCCTGACGTGAAAAGCGCTATATCAAATGCAAGGATTATTATTATTATTATTATTCGAGTAAGTATGAATCACAAAGGCCCGATGGCCAAATTGAATTCATCCTTCCAGAGTAGCCCCCTCCTCCAACCATCTTCTGATTTCAACATCAAGTTATTTCTTAGATAATCCACCCATTATACCTCTACCATCCTTTGTGGTCTCCCATTGTGCCTGACTCAGTTCCACTCTAATCTCTGAGCCTTGTTCCGGGTTCAAGCGCCAAGTTGGGAGTTTGAGCACACAATCTAGGCTGGCACTCAAATACAGTGCTAGAGAAGTGCTGCATTGTCAGATGTGCTGTCCTTTGGTTGAAACGTTAAACCAAAGTCAGGTGGATGGTAAAAATCTCATAGTGCTATTTGAAAAGATTTTCTTCCAGTATTCTGGCCAACAATCTCCCCAGATAAAAATGGTCTGTTACTTCATGACTATTTGTGTGACATTGCTGTACCCAAATTGATTGTTACGATCACCTACAAAACACACAGTAACGACACTTTACAGTAAATTCCTATGAAGCAGTTTGAGACATCTTGATGGTGTGCTAAGGTGCTACATCAAATGCTAGGACACGGGATCTATTATTATACAGTCTGTATATTATTATTACATTATTACTACAACTGTTGACAATTCTCATTACTTTTACTATCCTATTAACTATCTTACAAACCTCTATCTTACAAACCTCTACATCGGTGATCTGAACTCAACTGATCTGTCAATTTAGCCCAGTTACACAGTGCACGGAGAGAAATCTGCAGCCTACATTGACTTATTGCTGATCATCACCCTGGAGGCAATCAGCTTCACAGAATGTCACATCTATTTGTCAAAGCCCCTCACATGAGGACCTGAATTAAGCAGTTAGTATTGAGTAAGCCTGGTACATGGCATTGGACTTGAACTTCTAGGACATCCAGATGGCTGGCACGTCACAAGCTGAACAGGTCTTCTCACCACTTTGACAGTAGATAGACGTCTGTCGAGTAGCTAATGAAGTTTGGGACGCAGCTGCTGGAAGGCGATACCCAGCATACGGGTTTGTCAACTCGCATTCATATATACAAGCCTTGGTATCCATCTTAAGTAGTATGCAGAGAGAAAAGCAGCTGCTGCTTAAACTTCTAATTTCTAAACGGGAGAAACCATGGTTCAATGGGTAGACGTGCGGATCCGAGCTGTGAGCAGAAGTGTGACGGCAATGCTCTCACATTTCATTCTTAGCTGTGCTGCTCACCAGACAGCTCATGTAGAATTCCTGGTATCCACTTTGTGAGGGTTCAAACCTGCACTTGTCGGATCTCAAGTGACTAGTTAATGACCGTCCTTGTGGGGGTGGGGGAGGGAGGGAGGGGTAAGAGGTTTCCTTGGAAGTGAGCTAGCTCCAAGATGATATGCTTAGCAATGGAAGGTTGAAATTCAGTCAGCTCTCTGTGGTGGACTTGTTGGTTCAGTCCCTGAGCCAGAGAGGTCCACAGTACTCCAAGGAACTGCTAACGCTAGACCAGCCAGCTTGGCTCATCAGCAGAACTTGGAGTCAAACTAGTCACTCTTCCCACTCAGCTGTTGTTAACGCTGCAAACCGCAGCTCGAATGAGTAGGGTGGCCTCAGCTGGAAAAACAGTGGGAAGCTTGCCAACTAGTCCTCATAAAATAGTCACTCCCTTGGAGTTCCAGAACATCAAAATTAGTCTCCTCTATGCCAAATTGCTCCAGTTTCTTACATTCTTACATTCTGCCAACTGATTTGCTACTCTTACTTTTCCGACTGACTGCCTTTCAGATATCAAGTCCTGGATAAGTATTAACTTTCTACAGCTCAACATTGACAAGACCGAAGCTATCCTCCAGCAGCACCTTCTCACCATAGGTGCTGATCAGATCAACCTACACAGGTGCTCACCCACCTCACACGGCAGGTGTGGAACTTCAGTGTCCTGTTTGACCCCAAACTATCCTCTAAATCCTACATCTGGGGTCTCCTTTACTCTGGTTTCCCTGTTTTGATTTCCCCAACATTGCCTGCCTGCACTACCTTACCTCTCCCACCAGGCTGCTGAAACCTTCATCTACTCTTTCATTATTTTCAAGCTCAATTACTCCAACGTCCTCCTCACCATAGCCCCCAGCATCTCCCTACACAACCTGCAGACCATTCAGAATACTGCAGCCAATGTCTCTGCAAACTCCTCACACCATCCTCTTTGAGCTCCACTGGGACCCCATCACCTCAGAATTCAAGATTCTCGTCCTCGGTTTCAAATTCCTCCATGGCCTTGCCTCACTCTCGCTCTGTGATTCAAATGCCCTAAACATTCCTTCTGTTCGGCAAACATCGGCCAGCTTCAGGTCCTCTGCCCTCTCTGTCCCACCATTGGTGGGTGCCATTTCAGCCACATTTTCTGGATCTCTATCCCAGATTCAACAACAACAACAACAAGATTCCATTTATTGAGCGCCTTTCACGTCGGGAGGATGTCCCAAGGTGCTGTACAGTTGGGTCAGGACCCGAGCAGGGGGGAAATGGTCAGGGTGAGGGAAGGGAGGGAGCGAGGAGGGGGGTAGAGAGTCGAGAGGGGAGCTGAAGGCACGGTCAAAGAGAAAGGTCTTGAGACCGGCCTTGAAGGAGGAAAGGGAGGAGGCGGCGAAGGCACTGGGGGATAGAGTTCCAGAGCCTAGGGGCTGAGAGGCTGAAGGCCCGGCCACCGATGGTAGGGCGGTTGGGCGGGGGATGTGGAGGAGACCGGAGCCAGAGGAACGGAGGGTACGGGCGGGTAGGTAGGGGGATAATAGGTCGGAGAGGTAGGAGGGAGCAAGGCCGTGAATGGCCTTGTAGGTGAGGATGAGGATCTTGAATTCGATCCTCTGGGGGATGGGGAGCCAGTGGAGGCGAGCGAGGGTGGGAGTGATGCGGTCCCGAAGCCTGGTGCGGGACAGTACACGAGCTGCAGAGTTCTGAATGACCTGCAGCTTGTGGAGGGAGGTGCCGGGAAGGCCGGCGAGGAGAGAGTTCCCATAGTCCAGCCTTGAGGTGATAAAGGGGTGGACCAGAGTTTCAGCAGCGTGAGGGGTGAGGTAGTGAGTTTCAGCAGCGTGAGGGGTGAGGTAGTGATTCCCTCAATTCCCCCCCACTTCCTCCCTGCCCTCAAAAATCCAAACCAAAATCCATCTCTTTGCACTTTTGACTACCTTTCTCCCACACCTCCCCAAAACTTGGGCTCCTGGTCAATTGTGTGAAACATTTTGAGACATTATCCCATTGTGAAAGGTGCTCCTAAATCTAAGGTCCTTCGGATGTCTTACCAATGTGAAAGTTCCTGTATAAATGTAAATTTATATTGCATTGTAAACCATTGTTTTGTATGTCTATTTTTTCTTCCCAACCATTGATTCCAACTTCCGTTACCTAATTTCTCAGGTAGTTTTATCGTAAATAATAATAATCCGTGTATTTTATATGGTATCCTATCATATCAATCAAAATATCTTAAAGAATTTCACAGGATTCACATGATTGTAGTAACTATATATTTGTAGGCACATATGGTAGCCAATTTGCCCACAGCAGAGTTAAACAAATAGCCATCAAGTGAATCATCAACTATTGTTGGTCATGACACTGGGAGAAACTCCCTTCTTTTTTCGACTAGTCCAACGGGATCTTTAATGTCCACCAGAACAGGCAGAGAGGGCCTTGGTTTAACATCTGATCTGAAGGATGGAAACTCCAGCAATACAGCACAGCCCCGGCACTGCATTGAAGTCTGGACTGCAATGAAGTGTCAGTCTGGACTGTAATGGAGTGTCAATCTGGACCATGAGCTCAAAGTCCCTACATGAAAGCCTGAACCCACAACTGTAAGATTCAGAGGCGAGAGCCAGGCTGTCACCTCGGATGACGCTGTGCTGTGTGCTCACTATTAATTAGATTGATTGTACTCAACCCCAAATCATGATTGGGTGAAAACAAGCAAGATTACTGAATCTGCATTTCACAATATTGCAATATTTCTTTTCTGGCCGACAACCCAAATTTTGACCACGTTGTGCGCAGGGACTCGCTCACCTTTTCCACCGTCATGTTAAGTGTTTCAGCAGAATGTGTCGCGCCCACATAGTATCCAGCCCCCGCGATAACGTGAACCCCAGTTTCTTGGGAAAGACGCTTGAGAGTCTGGACGTCCCTATGAATCCCTGTCGTCGTGTTGTCCACGATGGTGCCACCACCCATTTTCTTAAAATGCAACATCTCCTCCTTAACACTTTCGGTCTCGTCGTTCAACACCAGGTTGACTTTGTGAGAATAGGGGTTTTGCTTGAGCCAGTATAAGTTGTTGATGGCTATGGGCATTTCAGAGAACTTCTCTTGACCAGGTGGTGGTTGTGAGTAACAAAAGTCGAAAACCAAAGACAAATGCTCGTGGGTCAGGGTCCGACCCAACTGGCTGGGCTCGATCACACCCAGCACCGTCTGCACTTTCCCACTCAACTTGGACATTTTTGCGGGTCTGAAAAATAAGAATAGTGCTCAACATTTTGCAACTGACTTGTTATTTAATTCAATAAACAGTCGAAAAGAGATGTACCACACGGCACAGCAAGCAACACAAGAAGTTACATTTATCCGGCGTCCCTCCCACAGGGTAGCATCCCAGAGCGCTTGACAGTGGCGGAGCACGACTCCGGCCAAGGGAGTGGGGGGGGGGGGGGGGGGAGGGGCGGAGGTAAGGGGTAAGGTGACCGTAAGCACAGTCGAAGAGACAGGTCTTCAAGAACGACTGCAACAAAAAGAATCCTTGCATTTGATACAGCGCCTTATCACCTCTTCAAGACATCGTAAAGTGTTTCACAGGATACACTGTAGCGTGTAGTGACTGTGTGTTTTGTGGGCTGTAGATGGGGAAGTAGAGGGCAAGGCGGAGGGGTAGAGAGGAAGAGCGTTGCAAAGTTTCGGGGTGCAGTGGCTGAAAGCAGTAAAAATAAAACTATAAGATACGCTTCGTAATAAAGTCTCAATAAAAACAAGAGCTGAGAATGCAGTGACCGACCGGTCAGAGCAGCAGCTCTCACAGGGCCTTGGACTGGGGAGGTCGGTAGTTTTGCTGGGCCAGGATTAACCGAAACAAACCAGGAACAAGCCCAGACTGCACACAGAGCTCACTGTGTGTCTGTCTGTCTGTCTGTCTGTCTGTCTGTCTGTCTGTCTGTCTGTGTGTGTGTGTGTGTGTCTGTATGTGTGTGTGTCTCTGTGTGTGTGTGTGGGTCTGTATGTTTGTGTGTCTCTGAGTGTGTGTGTGTGTGTGTCTGTGTGTCTGTATGTGTGTGTGTCTCTGAGTGTGTGTGTGTGTGTGTCTGTGTGTCTGTATGTGTGTGTGTCTCTGAGTGTGTGTGTGTCTGTGTGTCTGTATGTGTGTGTGTGTGTCTGTGTGTGTGTCTCTGTGTGTCTGTTTGTGTGTGTGTGTGTCTGTGTGTGTGTGTGTGTCTCTGTGTGTGTGTGTGTGTGTCTCTGTGTGTGTGTGTGTGTGTGTCTCTGTGTGTGTGTGTGTGTCTCTGTGTGTGTGTGTGTGTGTGTCTCTCTGTGTGTGTGTGTTTGTGTGTGTGTGTGTCTCTGTGTGTGTGTGTGTGTCTCTGTGTGTGTGTGTGTGTGTGTGTCTCTGTGTGTGTGTGTGTCTGTGTGTGTGTCACACGCTCCTCAGAGGTGAGATGACAAACTCGGTAGTGAAGCTGTGACTCGGGGCCGCACTGCTCGGTGCGCGGCCGCTCCTAAACCTGCGGAGTCCGCGGGCATTCAGTGCCGCTGCCAGGACAGCCTGACCCCCCCCCCCCCCAGCCTGACCCCCCCCCCACCCACCCCCAGCCTGACCCCCCCCCCCACACCCCCAGCCCACCCCCAGCCACCCCCTAGCCTGACCCCCCCCCCAGCCTGAACCCCCCCCCAGCCTGACCCCCCCCCCCACCCCAGCCCAGCCCACCCCCAGCCTGACCCCCCCCCACCACACACACCCCAGCCCAGCCACCCCCCAGCCTGACCCCCCCCCCACCCCAGCCCCCCCCAGCCCCAGCACCCCCCAGCCTGACCCCCCCCCCCCCACCCCCCCAGCCCCAGCCCACCCCAGCCTGGCCCCCAGCCTGACCCCCCCCCCAGCCCAGCCCACCCCCAGCCTGACCCCCCCCCACCCACACACACACCCTCACCCACACACACCCCCAGCCTGACCCCCCCCCACCCCAGCCCCCCCCAGCCCCAGCCCACCCCCAGCCTGACCCCCCCCCCCAGCCTGACCCCCCCCCCCAGCCCAGCCCACCCCCAGCCTGACCCCCCCCCCAGCCTGACCCCCCCCCCAGCCTGACCCCCCCCCAGCCTGACCCCCCCCCCCAGCCCAGCCCACCCCCAGCCTGACCCCCCCCCACCCACACACACACCCTCACCCACACACACCCCCAGCCTGACCCCCCCACCCCAGCCCAGCCCAGCCCCAGCCCACCCCCAGCCTGACCCCCCCCCCCCCAGCCCCCCCCAGCCCCAGCCACCCCCCAGCCTGACCCCCCCCCCACCCCCAGCCCCCCCAGCCCCAGCCACCCCCCAGCCCGACCGCCCCCCACCCCAGCCCCAGCCCCCCCCAGCCCCAGCCACCCCCCAGCCTGACCCCCCCACCACCCCACCCCCCCCACCCCCAGGCCCCCCACCCCACCCCTAGCCACCCTCACCCCCACCCCCGCCCCCAACCTCAGCCCCCCCACCCCCAGCCCGACCCCCCCCCACCCCACCCACACACCCCCCCAGCCTGACCCCCCCCAGCCCCCCCACCCACACTCACCCCCACCCCACCCCCAGAGACACACTCACCCACAGCCACAGTCTGACACACACTCACAGCCGCCGTGTCAGCTCAGCACCTGTCAATCACCCTCCTCTCGCGAGGCTCCCCCCCCCCCCCCCCCCACACTTACCAGTTGGTTACACTGGTGCACAGTCACCTGCAGCCAACTGGTTACAGCAACAACAACAACAACAACAGAATTACATTTGTGTAGCATCTTTCACGTCGGGAGGACGTCCCAAGGCGCTGGACAGTCAGAGCTTCGGACCCGAGCTGGGGGTTTGGGATTGGGGAGGGTGGAGGGCAACAACAACAATAAAATTACATTTATAGAGCACCTTTCACGTCGGGAGGACGTCCCAAGGCCCTGGACAGTCAGGGGTCGGGACCCGAGCATGGGGGAGGGGTGGTGTAGGGGTGAGGGAAGGCGGAGAGGTGGGAGGGTGACCGAAGGCACGGTCGAAGAGGAGGGTCTTGAGACCGGCCTTTAAAGAGGCGAGGGAGGCAGCGAGGCGAAGGGACCGTGGGATGGAGTTCCAGAGTGTGGGGGCAGAGAAGTTGAAAGCCGGGCCATGATGGTAGGGCAGGTCGGGCGGGAGACATGGAGCAGACCGGCGCTCGCTGAAAGGAGGGAGCGGGCAAGGTTGGTAGGGAGTCAGCAGGTCAGAGAGGTAGGAGGGGGCAAGGCCATCCAGGGGGCAGGGGGTGAAGGAGGGTGATCGAAGGCACGGTCAAAGAGGAGGGTCTTGAGATGGGTCTTCAAGGAAGCAAGGGAGGGGGCAAAGCGGTGGAATTGCGCGATGGATTTCCGGTGCGAAGGCTAGAGGAGAAACCGTTTGTGGAGATGATGTGGAGGCGGTGTGAGAGGTACAATCTGAACAAGTCAAGGGCAGAACCGCGAAGGTTGAGATGAGAGGAGAGGCGGTGGATGAAGATAGAGTGATCAGCGCCTTGGGACATCTTCCCGACGTGAAAGGCACTATACAAATGTAATTTTGTTGTTGCTGTCAACGGTGTCGAAAGCAGCAGAGAGGTCAAGGAGTATGAGGAGGCGGAGGGAGCCCTGGTCGCAGATGGACAGAATGTCATTTGTCACTTTGACCGGAGCTGTTTCTGTGCTGTGGGCGACAAGGAGACCCGATTGGAGGGGTTCGTGAAGGGAGTGGCGGGAGAGGAAGGAGCGAAGCTGAGAAGCAATGACTCGTTCCAAGACCTTGTAGAGGAAAGGGAGGTTGGAGATGGGGCGGTAGTTTGAGAGCAGAAATGGGTCCAGGGAGGGATTTTTTTAAGGATAGGGATGGCACCCTTTAAAAATGTTTTACAACCAACTGGTTACACTAGTTTACAGTCATATACAGTCAACTGGTTATGTTAGTTTACAATCACATACAGCCAGCCAGTTACACTAGTTTACAGTCACATACAGCCAGCTGGTTACACTAGTTTACAGTCACATACAGCCAGCTGGTTACAACAACAACATTATATTTGTATAGCATCTTTCACATCAGGAGGACAACCCAAGGCGATGGACAGTCAGTGTTTCGGACTCAAACTGGGGGTTGGGGTTGGGGAGGGTGGAGGGCAGGGGGTGAAGGAGGTAAGGGAGGGGGCAAGGCGGGTGGGGCAGAGTGGCTGAAGGCCCGCCCGCAAATGGTGGAGTGGGCAAGGTACGAGACTTGAAGCAGGCCGGAGCTCTCTGAGCGCAAGGAGCGGGCAGGACGGTAGGGGGTTAGGAGGTCACAGAGGTGGGGGGAGCAAGACCATGGAGGGCTTTGAAGGTGAGGACCAGGAACTTGAACTGTATCCTCTATGTGATGCGCAGCCAGTGGAGTCAGGCGAGGATGGGGTGATAGGGTCACGGAGCCTGGTGCAGGAGAGGATATGGAGTGCAGAGTACTGGATGATCTGCAGCCTATGGAGGGAGGAGTTGGTGAGGCCGATAAGCAAGGAGTTTGAATAGTCGAGCCTGGTTGTTATGAATGCGTGTGTGAGGGTTTCGGTGGCCTGCGGTGTGAGACAGTGCCGGAGCCGGGCAATGTTGCGGAGGTGGAGGAAGGCAGAACAGGTTATGGCATAGATGTGGAGCAGAAAGGATAGTTGAGGGTCAAACAAGACGCCAAGGGCCCGTACTGGCTTGGTGAGATGGAGTGCGCGTCCATGGATGGTCGGATGATGTCACCAAGAGGGAGCATATAGATGTTGAAGAGCAGGGGACCAAGGACAGAGCTCTGAGGAACACTGCACAAGATGGTGTGGGGGCTAGAGGAGAAGCCACTTGTGGAGATGAAGTGGAGACAGTGTGAGAGGTAAGATCTGAACCAGTCAAGGACAGAACCGTGAAGGTTGAGGTGAGGTGAGAGGAGAGGCAGTGGATGAGAATAGAGTGGTCAGCACCTTGGGACATCCTCCCAATGTGAACGTCATTATACAAGTGTAATTTTGTTGTTGGTGTCGTCGAAGGCAGCAGAGAGGTCAAGGAGGATGAGGAGGCAGGTCACAGATGGACAGAATGTCATTTGTCACTTTGACCAGAGCTGTTTCTGTGCTCTGCACAGCACGAAAACCTGATAGGAGGGGTTCGTGAAGCGAGTGGCAGGAGAGGAAGGAGCGAATCTGGGAAGCAACGACTCAGTCCAAGGACCTTGGAGAGTAAAGGGAGGTTGGAGATGGGGCGGTAGTTTGATAGCAGGAATGGGTCCAGGGAGGGTTTTTTAATAGTTGTAATGACAGCCATTTTTAAAGGGATGGGAACGCTTTAAAATCGCTTTCAACCAGATGGTTACATCAGCTTATCGTCACATACAGCCAGTTATTTACACTAGTTTACACCCACATACAGCCAGATGGTTTCACTAGTTTACAGTTACACTAGGTTACACCCACATACAGCCAGATGGTTTCACTAGTTTACAGTTACACTAGGTTACACCCACATACAGCCAGCTGGTTTCACTAGTTTACAACCACATGGTTTCAGTAGTTGATTATGTTATGTGTTTAGACACATATTTATTTCAATGAAGAAGTATATCTGTAACAAGTCACTTTAAATGTTTTACTCAAAATACTCCTACTCATTTTCCTGGTTCAAACTTTAGTGCAAATAAGGTAGCATATATTTGGTGTGTCAGTCACCTCTGTTAAAGATAACCCAAGGACTGTTTATTTTAGTTTTGTATCTTCAACCTTTAGTCTCGATCTTTCATTTTATTGCTGATTCACCAAATGCTCAAGTTGTATAAAAAAATTAACTCATTAGACTACCAGCAAGTTCAATGAAGGTTTTATTTTCCTTGGTTTACCAGTTATTTTAGCTTATGCAGTTCTCCTGTGGAAACAAGTACTA